CAGCCGCGCCACGCGACCGGCCGGGAGAGAAAAAAACCGCAGTGGGGGGCGGCCCCTCCGCAGCAGAGGACGCACAAAGACACGTGTAAACATAGACTCTCCTAACGCTGGGGGGTGAAGCGATGGTTTCATTAGACATCTGAGTCTGCACGGCTCCAGAAAACTTTATTAACTTTTACTGTAAATGATTACAGATATAATTATCCGACTAATCCTTTACTGATGAGCGGAGTTGTCCGTGCGCAGGAGAAATGTGCTGATTAAGCGCCGAGCTGCAGCCAGAACAGCACCGTGTCTGAATATTATTTATATTTATGCATTTACTTGACTTATTTAACAGCTTTCGTGTGATGGATGAGCATCAAACAGCTCCATTTTTTTTTTTTGCTCAGCAGCAAATCGGTGTGTTGACACACGGCTGCTTATGTAACCACAGTGTTCAGATAAACACAGTTTAGCCAGGCTCTTCACACGTGCACTCACACACGTGCACTCTCACAAGGAGGACTGACACGAAGGTCACAGTCCACAAAAGCAGCCCATTCCCTGAGGTCCTGAAGACTTTCACAGACCCTGTTCAATTTCCAGGTTTTCTAACCGTGGCGGTTCGTACGGCGCTGTCCGACATGAGAGGGATTACTGTCACGGGGACAGCGGGCCTCCGAGAGTGTGACAAAAATGCTGCCATTCTTGCTTAGTTATGTGTATTTCCAAAAAATGGTCTAAGCCTCTGGAGGAAAATCTCGAGAAAAAAAATGAAAAGGAATAGCCAGGCTCCGTCGTTAAAATTGCCTGCCAGGGAAACCCAATTACCACATTGTGTTTGAAGGCTAGTATTTGTATCTTATTTGTAAGAAATATTTGCCTGAAAAGTGAGTGTGTTTACGTCACCGGTCGTCCGCAAATTGAAAACGATGACAACTTTGTCGGAGTCTCATTTAGAGGAAAACAGATGATAATGCACAATGGGATTGTCCAATGAGAACCGACCGGGCTTCACCATCACTGTCCAATGTCTCCTGTCCAAACTGGTGAAGACCTTACCCTGTTGTGACCTCTGACCTCTGATTGGCTCACGCCCCTTCATTGCTCCTCCTGTTTGGAGGTGCCTGAATGTTGTCAAACGTAGAGACAGATTTTGTTATTCTCATTTAGCCCCATGAAAATGACGAGGAAGGAAGACCTTCGAAGACGAGACGAAGACAAGACGAAGACGACTATTAGACGAAATTATATATATTAGAAGACGAAGACGACTATTAGACGAAATTAAATATATTAGACCAGTGTTTCCCAAATGTTTTTTTCTGGGGACCCATATTTTAAAAGTCACAAACCTTTGCGACCTAAGTCAATAGACGTTATTCATAAACTCCTGGGAAACATGATGCGAGACGACCCCAAAAAAAACCTATTGTGACCCACCTGGGGGTCACGACCCAGTCTTTGAGAACCACTGTATCAGACGGTGGATCTACAACAACTCAGGAAACCTCTTGTTAACCACCCTGTGTTTTTTAATTTTCACAGCTCAATAAACATCAGTGAATGACGTTTATTGATTTTGAAGTTCATTTATATTCGATATTTCTGTTGTAAAACTTTTCACCTCACCAGAAGGAAAAGGAAATCTTTTCTTATTACAGTGAAGCTGTTTATGAACACGTAAAACTATTCGGGTCATTAAAAGAGAGAGAAGGGAAGATTTTACAAAGATTACTTTGATCAACGACACTTGGAAGTCATCAACGACAGGAACACGTTGTGTTAAAGTGTGTCATGTCTGGTTTGTGATGCGTCGGCTCAAAGGTTAATGAGGAGCTTGTTCACTCGGAGGAGAGGAGACGACGGCGCTCCTCACGGAAGAGGAGGCGTTACATGCCCGAGGGGGGGCGGCGTAATGACACCCCTCAGATCTCATTATCAGGATTATTGATTGGTCACGGACACCTGCCTCGTTTAGACACACAAACAGAGCCGGAGCCTCACAGTCACAGCTGCAGCAACAAGAACGGACACGGGAATACATTCCATAGAGACTGCAAATATATATATGTATATGTATATATATGTATATATATATACATATATATACATATACATATATGTATATATATGTATATATATATATATATATATGTATATATATATATACACATATATGTATATTTATATATATATATTTATATATCTATAAATATATACATACAGTATATAAATATATATATATATTTTTATATACATTTATGCACAGACAAATTCAAGTGATTTTAAAAGCACATACTCAGTACCCACACACACACGCACACACCCACGCAGACGCCAGTAGAACTGAATTATTCAATGTTCTGATGTACTTACACACACCCACGCAGGTGCTTGATAGCGTTCACACACACACACACACTCATGCAGGTGTTCTTGTGCGGCCTCTACAGCGGCTTTCATAAAAAATCTGTCCTTCAGCCAGAGCTTGAGCCACGAGCGTCGGCTTCAATTGGACCAGATACTGGTTTTCGCATCGAGGACATGAAATTCAGTGAACAGTTCTAGATAATAATGCTAACGCTAACGCTAATGTCAATCAAACAAGGTTGTACAATTCCTCGTTAAAAGAAATGCCGCGCTGCGACTGTGAAGATAAGACGACGTTAAACACAGAGAAAAGAAGAGAAAAACTTTTAGTCTCGACGTTGGAAACAAAAGTTTAAATAGAGAAATATCTTAGAAATGAGTTTGGGGCAAAAAATACTTTCATTCTTTATGACAACAAAACTTATTTTAGACTTAAACAAGAAGAACTCACTCTTCTCTGTTCATTAACATATGAGTTCAGATGTCCACAACAGGAGGATCGGGGGCTGGGGGGTGTACAGAGGAGGAACAACAGTGTTGGTTTAGTAAATTAGTGATCATTGTTTTTATTCAAAATAAAGTATGAAAAAGTACGTAAAGTGTTTCAATATTTAAATAGATCAGAGTTGAAAACAAAACTTTTGGGGTGTGTGTGGGGGGGGTCCGTGCTCTTCCTCTTCACTAGTTCCTTCTTTGATTCCATTTGGATGACAGCTGTCCAACTCAGTGTTTCCCAAACTTTTTTTCTGATGACCCATTTTTTTAAAAGTCACAAACCTTGGCGACCTGGGAAACATGATGTGACACGACCAAAAAAAAGGTCGCGACCCAGTCTTTGGGAAACGGCGGTCTAACCCACTCTTCCTGCCTTTCGTGCACATAAAGTACCGGGCGTTTATCAGGCGATACATCAACCAAACAGTTCCTAATGGAGCCTTTGTTCCAGGAAAAGGAAAGTTGATGAAAGCAGGCCATCAATTACGGCAGCGCTCTGAAGGTGTAACCTCCGAGGACCGCAGCAGCCACGCTGATAAATCCAATCTAGGACACTTCCTGCACAGGACTTGTTGTAACGCTGCAGTCTCCCACCTGCCACAGTACAGTGCCCTGACCCCCCCGGGGGGGTCGGGGGGTCGGGGGGTGCAGATCCTTGACCCCACTGGAGCACAGCAGATGGCAGAGGCTGCACAGACACCACCGCTGGGTCACACGTGGAAACGCCATGGAATCAGACAGGAAGTTGACGAAGACGAAGACTGTGGTGGAGAGTCAGAGAACTCGGCAACCTGGGATTTGAACCGGCAAACACTCAAGTTGCAGAAAAATATTTGGAAAAAAAACAAACAAATTCCAGACAAAAGTTTAAGTTTTTTTACTGCATTTTCCAGAATTCTCTTTGGCAAAAAACGCACAAAAATATTTGCAAAATTTATTAATATTTTTTTTCCCCCCAAAGCTGACAATCAAGTGAAGCCCCCAGGTGGGGGCGTAATTTTTTTTTTTTTTTTTTTTTTTTTTTTTGTGGCTGCGTTTGTCAGTTATTTAAAACGGTGCCGTGGCTTCATTCGTGATTGGTTGTGTGAGCTGGAGGAGGCCGGAGTGGGTGGGGAGTTTTAAGACCTTCTGACGCTCCAGTCTGGTCTCTGACCATAACGACGGGCTGTGTGTGTAGCAGCAGCAACAGCAGCATCAGCAGCAGCAGCATCATTCGAGGAGGAGGAGGAGGAAAGCGGAGGAGATTCCTAACATCCCAAAGTTTGAGGCTGCGGACCATCCGGACCCGCAGGAGTGTCGAGGATCCAGGTGTGTGTGCACTCGTTCTCTCTAAATATGTTCTTTACACCAGGCTCTCAGTCAACGTTGACTAAACAAAGTTCCACAGCAGCCCGTGTCGCATTTTTCGCTCCACGGCAGCCGTGACGACTCATCACGGCTGTCGTTTCAGATGCTGCGTCGTAAAGTTTTTTGTTTTTTTTCCAGGCTCGCCGACAATTCATAACATTAGTGTCAAACTTTCCAAGTTTGTCGTGCCGTCACAGATGCTCCAGTCTCTCCCAGACCACCGAGGTCTGCCAAAGCTCTATTAGCTGATCAGCGCGACCACGCTGCCAAAAACAGCTGCAGCAAATGCTTCTGTTGTTTTGGGGGAAAAAAAAATCACAAGAGAAATGCTGGAGGTGTAGCCGTGAGAAGACAAATATTTATCTGTCTATGATTATAGATACAGGATGTACAGAATAGATGAACATGTTTCTGTGACTGAATTTGTAATTTTGGGTCCGTTTACAACAACAACAACAACAGCAGTTTAACAGTTAAATTGTTTATAGTTTTATTTTTATGGCTACGGTTTATATAATTTATAATTATAGAAATTGATGTCGTAGTGTAAGAGGCTGGTTCTACTCTATGAAATAACTTATTGTCTGTAGAGTCAATAATCACAATCATGCATTATTCAACATTTTCATTTTTTTTTTCTGTTTCTTTTCCAATCTCTTTGTGTTTTGTTCATTTGTGTGTGCGTCAGTGGGTCTGCAGCCGTCTGTTATTTCTTTAATTGTCACAACGCTGACTCTAACTCTGATTTTGTTCCACTTTGTTATATTTAAATCTCCCCTCACATCAATGGCCAGTACACCATGAAATTACACGTCTTTGTTCACCACCGTCCTGGAACTGGTAGGAAAAAAAAAGAAGCAACTTTTAACCGTTCTTTGAGTTAAATTAAAATCATAATCATCTCCTCGTCACCTCCCGCCTTGACTTTTGACTTTGAGCTCCATGTCGCTGCTCCCTCAGATCGACCTCCTCCATTCACCTGACTGCCCCCCCCATGAGGAACATCAACTCAGTCTCACAATTCAAGTCCGCACTCGAAACCCATCAGTTTGAAATTGTCTTCTCCGTCTGACGGATTCGATTGCATCGTCATATCTATTATTATTATTATTATTATTATCAGAAACGTTGGGAAGATAAAAGACTCAACTAAATGTTGAACTGATACATTATATATAATATATTTGTATATAAAAGACAATATATTTATAAATAAAAATGTCTTATAATGTCTTCAAAATGGACATGAGGAGCTGAGGACAGTCACGGTTTATCACTTGATGGTTTGACGTGTTGTAAAAAGCGCGTGGACACGTTGACGTTAGAGACGGAACTCTCCAGAAATCTGACTATATGTAGTGTTCGAGGACATGTTGGTGTTGGTGTAGAGACGGTAGGAGACGGGGCGAGATAATCTGCAGTGGTGAGCGTTCAAAGGGAAAACGAAAGACGAAAGACGAAAGAAGAAGAAGTAGAATTCTCGTAGTATTTCTCAGTATCCACTGAACGTAAGTGGATTAAGTTCTTTGTCATTAATTTACTTAATAAAATATGTATTTCCCCACTGCAGGGGCAGCACACCACAGCTCTGATCTCTATTAGTATTTTCATTTGTGATTTATAATTCCATCAGCGGAGCCTCAGCCTACGATTAATCCTCTCAATATTTACGACCCAATATACAGATTCAGGTCTGAACTTCAAATATCAGCTGAATCGCTGTTACGCAGAGCTTTAGGTTTTGTTAATAATAATATTATCCTAAGTCTACATTATAACCAACCACCTCCAGTGTAACTGGTAACTTTCATAAACACCATCAATCAGGTAGAACTAACAGAAATGACCGTCTCGAGGTGTGAATCCCCGAACGTCTTAGGAGTCGCCTGCAGTAAACCTGGACTTGGTGTCACTTTTATGAACTGTGACTGGGATTATCTCGATGATATTAGTGTATTTTGGTTTCAGGAAAAAAGAAAATGACTGAAAGTTTTAGTTGACACCATTTTTTTGACAGATACTTTTTGTCTCAGGGTCAACAGTCTCAGATCTTTTGTATGAAGTTTGCATGTTGGCTGTAAAGGATGGCTGAATGGGGTCTCCTAAAGGTTGCCCCCTAATGGTTGCTTTTAGCATTAATTGGATCTTTCTGGACTGCAGAACTGTAATTTAAGTCAAATGAATGCGATGTATTTACATGGACGTGGACGATGTCCCCAAATTTGCAACTGATACGACAAGAAACAAAGAAACTTCGGCTGATTTGATCTCTATCTGTTTCTGCTCTTCCTGGTTTGGTGTAAATTGACACGGTGCGTGAACAGAGGTGTGGGGTTTGCCCCCCCCACACCCTATCATTTACTCTATAAGTCTCGGAAATCTGTGCCAGGCCTGTGGATGTGACACAAACTTCCTGGAGTCTCACATTACTGACTGAACTGCTAAATAATTAACTCTGTCTCCTTTACGGTGATGAGCGGTGTCAGTTTTTTTTTTTTTTCTGGGATCTGGAATCCGACAGGATAAAAGTGAAGTGAGGATTTTTACGTCATCGTCGCAACGACAGCACTTTTTACTTTGCTGTAAAAAACTCGGTAAAAGTTGCGAAAGTGTTTCAGTGATGACGAATATCAATCACGATTAATCACGACTAATGGTGATGAATCCATCCAAATGTCACTCATTATTCCGTTGACACCGCAGTCACCTCGGTGATGCTGATTGGCCGTCGGTGTCATCATGAGGAGAGAGAACTCCAGGCGTATTTACCCACAAAGCCACTGTCACATTCCCTGTCAGTGCGTACAGCGTTCACCAAGGTTACATTGTTCTATGACAGCGTTCAAGCGTTGTTCAAACGCGGCTAAGTGAGACACTGCAGGTCTGGCTTCATTGCTCTGATATTCATATTTGAAAATTGTCATTCCGTCGATCAATTCCGCTCTGGAACGGCCTCATCTTATGGTGTGACCATAAAACACGAAATCTGTATTTCCCCAGAATATCAACCCGAGTCACGCTGGGCATGATTCAATTTGAGGCTATGTAATGTGGCGATGTAGCACACGTGGCGATAAACAATACATTTGCGGTCCTAAAAAAGAGGCCTCCTCCTGCTCACGTAATCAAAAAAGGGAAGTGGAGAGCAGCGGGCAGAGTCATCGTTGGGTTTTTTTTATCCATGACAACAAAGAGAGAGATGACGGTCGCAAGATGTATGTGGTTTGGATTTCCGTTGATGACAACGAGACAAATATTCATCAACCTCATGATCCACTGCCTCTTGATAAGTGACAAAGGCCAAAGGATTTATCGACTCTGTGCGCAGCTCGTAGACTCCAGGCAGGTCTATTAACCCATCTGAAAACACTGAAGGATGGAACAGGATGAGACCCATTCACTCCAAGGAATGAAATCTGCTGATGAACCATGAAATAATGTCTGCCGATAAGGTCTCCCCTCTGCTGCCGTAGAGGTCTTTGGCGGTGACTCTTTTATTGACCAGAGAGGCTTTAGGGTCCCACCAGATTTCCTTCCACTCCAAGCTCAGTAATCAAATCAGCTGAGCAAACTACCCTCTCTACGTCTAGGTCTTTTGATGACTTCCCTTTTGTGTGTAATCCGTGCTCAGGAAGTCAACCGGCGGCTTCTATTTCTGTGTGGATCAGAGCTGTCAGCAGCCTCCCTGCTGAGTAGTTTTTTTACTCCGCCTGAATCAGCACCTTTACCGCCGTGGAGTATTTAAAAGCCTCTCCCTTCTTCAGAGGTTTCGACTGGACCTACAGAGAATGTGTGTAACTTTTTTTAGGGCTTGAGCCTAAACAGACGCGTTGACAAATCCATCAAGGACAAACTAAAACACAACAAGGACACAACACAACACAACAAGTCGTATTGAAACCTGATGGACTGTTTTTACTGTGGCTGTGAAACGAACACAAGGGGTCGTCGGGTTTACGATGTCCTTGACTAAATGCGTTTAGTGGTTTCGTCGACGTCCCCCGTAAATTTATTAAGAAAGACTTGTTCCATGATTCCAATGTCGCCTGTTAAAACTCTCCAACTAGTTAGCACGGGACGTAGTGGACGAATATGTCGTCAAGTGGTGCGAAAGACAGCTTTTTTTGGTGCCGTTTTTGCCTTTCATTACGGCTCTCGTGCGTAAGTCCGACTCTGTAGGTATGATCGTACTGCTGCGTTAGCGTACGTGAGATACTTATGTTCAATTTGGAAGTTTTCAGCTTCAGTTACGTCGCACCGTGGGAGCGGAAATTCCGAAGTAAGTTGAGGACCTCCAGTACATTTTTAATCCGATTAATAACAGGGTAACTGTGAATGAATACGTTTACGGTCACACTAAAATGATCGGATTAGTGATATACTGTGAATGAATACGTTTACGGTCACACCAAAATGATCGGATTAGTGATATGGAAAAAAGTCAACAAAAATATGCAAAATTAAAAATGAAGCTTCATCGAGCTTCATAAAGCCTTACAATTTTTAAAACCGGATTCTTGTTAACTTAAATTTTTCTTTCTGATTATAGCTTTATTTTGACATTCTTAATTGTTCTTTTCATTTTTTTCTTTTTTTTTTTTGCACAAAACTAATGAAAGAAATAATTACAAAAATTCAGATGTGATGTTTTAGATTTGACCCTTTTTAATCACACTGGAACGTAAATTTTTTCTTTTCAGCAATAAGAAAAAAACAAAAAAAAACAAAACCAACAGAGGTTTGTCCATAAATTCTGTTTTTTTTATTTTTTTATTTTAATGTCTCATCTTGATATTCATCTCAGGGAATTTGAGTTTCCACTCGTCATTAAAGTCCACGTGAATCCAAACATTTAAACATCGTTAAATAATGTCACATTTTCACACAAACCGTGTCATTCACAGTTAAAAACTCAAACTTGAATATGTATAAAACCCCAATACTATGGTGTTTGCCCCGCC